CACACGAGCTCACAGCATGTGCACACGAGCACACAGCATGTGCACACGAGCTCACAGCATGTGCACACGAGCACACAGCATGTGCACACGAGCTCACAGCATGTGCACACGAGCTCACAGCATGTGCACACGAGCACACAGGCTGCTATGAACTACGAAAAGAAAAGCATACCTGTACACAACAGGGTCTTGTTGAATGGCGGTCGGCAGCAGGCACGCCCACTGACATGGAGAGTGAAGGGGGCGAGGGGGATGAGAGGGCAGAGGGGGATGAGAGGGCAGAGGGGGATGAGAGGGCAGAGGGGGATGAGAGGGGCCAGCGGGGTGAGACGGGAGAGGGGGGAGTAAGGGAAAGAAATGGAGGAGGAAGGAGGAAAGGGAAAGGGGGGGGCGTGGGGAGGTGTGAGAGCGGAGCGGTTGGGGCTTCATCATGCTCTCATCATCGCCTCACCCCCCATTGCCCTGCTCCGGTGTTCTTTTTACGGGGAGCTGCAAATGAGATGAGAAGGCTGGGGTGGGGATACCATACCTTTCCCACGGTCCCCCCTGCTTACCTCCCCCCCATCCCCCAGCCTTCTCACCTCCCCCCCATCCCCCAGCCTTCTCACCTCCCCCCCATCCCCCAGCCTTCTCACCTCCCCCCATCCCCCAGCCTTCTCACCTCCCCCCCATCCCCCAGCCTTCTCACCTCCCCCCCATCCCCCAGCCTTCTCACCTCCCCCCCATCCCCCAGCCTTCTCACCTCCCCCCCATCCCCCAGCCTTCTCACCTCCCCAACATCCCCCAGCCTTCTCGCCTTCCCCCTACCCCCCCCTCCTTGCTCACCTTCCCCCCAACTCCCCCCCCTCCCCTCCTTGCTCACCTTCCCCCCAACTCCCCCCCCCTCCCCTCCTTGCTCACCGTCCCCCCACCCTCTCCTGGCCCCCACCCTCTCCTGGGCAGGGCACGGGTACGTGAGCTTGAAGTGACTTTTGAGTCGACTCAAAAGTCACTTCGACCTGGCCCCCACCCTCCTCTCCTCGGTAGGGCACAGGTACGTGGGCAGAAATGAGCACAGAAAGTATGGCCATTGACCGCCTCTCCTCCTTCCCTCCCCTTTCCCCCCTTGCTCCCTTCCCCACCCCGCTCCACAACATCCCCCCAGCCCGGCTCACCTTGCCCCCATCCCCCCTTCCCCCCATCCCCCCATCCCCACGCCCCCATTCCCCCATCCCCATACCCTCATCTTCAGACCCTCATCTCCCCCCCATCCGCATGCCCCCATCCTTCCATCCCCCCATCCCCCAACCCCCCAAGCCCTCTCACTTTGCCCCCCCATCCCCCAATCCTCCAGCCCCCTCACCTTGCCCCCATCCCCCCAGGCCCCCACCCTCTCCTCGGCTGGGCATGGGGTACGTGGGCATGAGCACAGACAGCAGCAGCGGAACGGTGAAGGAACCTCACCATCTACCTTCCCCCCCAATCCCCCAATCCCCCAAGCCTTCTCACCTTGCCCCCACCCCCCATCCCCCATTCCCCATTCCCCATCACCCCAGTCTGCTCACCTTGCCCCCATCCCCCCACGCCCCCACCCGCTCCTCGGCTGGGCACGGGTACGTGGGCATGAGCACAGACAGCAGCAGCGACGGCAGGTCGTAGGCGTCCATGGGCCACTGGTCCCCGTTATGAGCTGCCTTGCGCCTGTCAATGTCAGCCTGGAAGGGAGGGGGGAGGGCGGGTGTGTGTGCGGAGGGGTAAGTGGGAAAGAGAGGGGATGAAAGGGCATGAGCACTGACAGCAGCAGCGGCAGGAGGTCGTAGGCGTTTATGGGCCACTGATCCCCGTTGTGAGCTGCTGCAATCCTGCGATCTATGTCCGTTCGCCTGTCAATATTCGCTGTGATGGCAGCAGGGGCGGCAGCAGGGACGGCAGCAGGGACGGCAGCAGGGACGGCAGCAGGGACGGCAGCAGGGACGGCAGCAGGGACGGCAGCAGGGGCGGCAGCAGGGGCGGCAAAAGGGACGGCAGGCCGTTGGCGTTCGAAAGCCATTGATTCCCGTGGCTGGCTACCGTTCCTCTGTCAATGTTAGCCGTAATTGGCTGCTGTGATCGGGTGCTGTGATTGGCTGCTGCGATTGACTGCTGTGATCGGCTGCTGTGATTGGGTGCGGTGATCGGCTGCTGCGATTGGGTGCTGTGATCGGCTGCTGCGATTGCCTGCTGTGATTGGCTGCTGTGATCGGCTGCTGTGATTGGCTGCTGTGATTGGGTACATTGCGCCTGTAGATGATCTCCAATCCAACGAGGTACGCTTTCTTGTTAGCGCGTACAACTTCAATGCACTGTCCTTCTTACCACTCACCCAATAAGCAGCCTCGGCTCGACATAGCGACCACGCAATGCCAACGCCTTTAACAAGGCCGGCTTCTAGCGAGGATACAGCAGAGGAGGATGCGGAAGAAGCAGCGTCGGTCGAGTTTTGAGACGCCTCGAAACTCAATGCGGAAACGGAAGCGGCGGAAGCGGAAGCGGAAGGGGAAGCGGCAGCGTCAATTGGAAGCACCGTGGGAGTTGGCTGGAATACAATCAGCAGAGGCACTCCTAAGGCGAGAATCACGAACGTGATGAATAAGTACGGCTTTAATCTCTCGACGACCGATTGGTTTCGCTGCGAAAAGTCGGAGGCTGTGACGTGGACTACAGTGTACGACATGATGACATCACTGGCTGAGTGGTAAGTGACGTAATTGAGTGCTGGAATCAGCTACGGCGGCGAAAGGAGCCGCACTACAATGCAGTAAGGTTCTTTAGTCCTATGCAGCAATAGCTGACGGTATAGTGTCGTAATGCCATTGAGTAGAAACGAAATGCTCGTCGATAAGGACGGCGATGAGCAGCCGAGGGACGGTGGTTGTTGAGAGAACGAGATGAGGGGCCGAACGAGAGATGTGTACAGTACAGGGGCATCACAGCATTATCTCCTGTGTGCAGTCAGGGGATTTATAATGCTGATGATTGACCAATGCTGTAAGCGTTCGCTTTTAGCCAATACCCTACTGAACCGTTTTACAGAGTTACTTTATCTTTCTAAAACGCAATTCGTCTTAATCAACCGCATTCGTACGTGCGCTAGGGTATGCCCTTTAAGGTCCCACTCTAAGTGCAAGAATGGGACCGCTGAGGACTGAAGGACCAACTTGCAAGTACAGCAGGAGCTGGTGCTCACATCACAGCCCAGCCAAAGCACATGTTGACATCCTCGTTATGAGCGAAGTGCCTAGGCGAAGCACTCCATGGCATATCACTATGATGTTGAGTCTGCTATATGATTTTGCCGATCACTAACTCTCAGCTTCGGATCGACAAACGAGCTATTTCTTAGCGCAGCGGAAACACGTGGCACATGAAGCTCCCTCAGCCGCTCTTGTTTGGCGTACAGGAGATGAAAGGCGTGTGACAATATCGGGGTTGCGAAAAGAGGAAGGGAATGTGGACCGTACATCCCACACGAAGTGAAGTGACACTGGCTGGCGGCTCAGCTGGGGGGATTATTGCGCATTCAACCGACTGCTGATCAGGGCTCTCGCTAAGCCTAGGGTATTCCGTTAGGTCACGGAATCAGTCTCGAAAATACCCGTTTGCGGACGGAATCTCCGAAATATTACCCGTTGGCCTACGGATTCGTCTAAGAGCTACTCTTGGTTTGATACTAACATCCTTGAAAATGGCCTTGGCCAGGGCTAAGGAAAAGCGATTGAAACCCCAGGGGCTGTTTTTTTTTAATCCTGAGCCGCGGGCAGTTGGAAGGGTAGAAATAACCCCGGCAACTAACCTCGCGCTTTGCTTAGTGGAGAAAGTTGGGAAAAGTAGAGGGGAGGCTGGGAAGGGTACAGATCTCCTTCTGCGATTGCACTTCGTACGGAATCAAAGAAAGGTAACCCGCAATGTCCGGGAATCACACGAAAAGTAGTCCGTTAGGCAGACAGAATCAAAACTATTTTACTATGCAAAAAGGGATTCGGTCGTAAACGACTATTAATTTCTTTATGTTGAGGCTAATTACCCTGATAGCCACAGTCCTGCTGCTGATCCTCCAACCAATCAAAACCAAATAGCCTGCAAAGTGGGATTCTCATCTCACAATGGGGCGGACGGAGCGCAGCGGGCGGGGCATTGGGGGGACAGTGAAGCGCGCTTGACTTCCGCAGCGGTTGGTTTGGGGGCATTGGCTTGACTAAGGCCGAACCCCGCCCGTACTCCCCACTCCTTTCCCCCCCCCCCCCCCCCCCCCCCCCCCCCCACTTCTCCAGATAATACAATATCAGGGTTACTCCATAGCCCCTGCGACTGACGAAACATTCCAAAGAGGAGGCCCGCACGATTGGTCTGCACCCGGTTCCGATGTTTACGGCGAACGATGCACTCGCCAGAATCGCAGCACTTCGCGAGAATCCCTAGTGGGATGCTGATGAATCCCCCTTTCCCCATCATTTTACTCGAGAGACATCATCAAGGTGTGATGGGGGTTGCATAGCATTCGTGGAACTTCCAAACCAACTTAGAGTCCTTCTGCACCTGGCATCTGACCTCGAGGCTGACCCGCGGTCGAAGGAGCCGCGGGGTTTAGAGACTCAACCTTGGGTCTAGTTACTTTGACGGTTGTGCGCCTACAGAGGTGGAGAAAGTCGCAAAACAAGTTGACGATGTACAGAAAATCGCACAGAGTTGTCGCAAAGAGAATTGGAGGTGTACATTGGCGGGCGATGCACCGCGCCACTTCTAGCTCGGTAGGTTTGTCTGCGAACGGTGTGTTTCCAGTCAAGCAGCCGTCAGGAGTCGTGAGACCCGAGGCAATTTTTTTTGCCTCGGGTATTCCTGTATGACACGGGTGCCAGACACGAGCTCCAGAATCCGCCCTTACATGGCGTGTCTCCTCTCCTGCTGCTTGTGTTGTTGTGAGGTCAACTGTCCATGTCAACACAGCAGCGAGGCCTTGCTCGTGCAATGCTATGCAAGCCCGAAACTGGCCTACAGCCAGATAGTTGTACGTTCAACTGCATTCGAGAGACTGTGAAACATCTGGCTGGTACACGTGTACAGTACATCGTCAATCCAGATGCGATAGAAACGGAATGACCCACTGACCCATAGCATAAATCCACATAAACGGCACGCTCACCGCCGGCTTATTACTCTGTTGGAAACAGAGCTTACGCCCCTTTATTTCCGAGACTGCACGACCGCGACTACCTACTAGTAGTAATAATACCAGTAGCCTCAAAGTAGTGGTTTCAGAGTACCAGTTTCATCTCCCTTTCATAGTTCTCCGTACCAGTCATCATGACATCCAGCGCGTTTTTCGTCCTCGATATAGGGAAACCCGGCGGCGGCGGCGGCGGCAGCGGCAATTTCGCGTCGTACCTGCACGCGGCGAAGCCGTACTTAATCGCCACCGCCGTAATTCTCGCGCTCGAGCTGCCGTTCGTTCTCTTCCTGCAGCCATGGCGAGTCGCGCAACAAGACGAGCCGCGTATCGACGCCGCAATAATTCCCGAAGGCGGCGGACCTGCCGGGTGCAAGATCAGCGCGGCTCAGTGCCGCGCTGAAGAGAACTACTGGGTACGTGGTAGGCAGTCGCGTAATGTCAAGTCGGTTCAATGCGGTACACAGCGGTTCCATCGACGTCGACGCCGCAATTAATTTATTTCTTGCTAAAGAAAATAGACTCCTCCTCGCCGTGCTGAAGAGAACTACTGGGTACGTTCTCAGGGCGGATAAGATCGTCTTGACGTCATTTAATTTCGGGTAGAACGGTTCTCTCATCGATATTTTGGGCTTATAGCGGATAGGTTGTTGCGAGGTAGCAACTTCAAGTTGTAAAATTCTCCGCGTAGAATTTCTCCTGGAAGATTCCCTTCACGTCAGGCCGGCAGGCACGCATCACCTGCACTTCGAACGCGCTCTCATCGTCGACGCGCGGTTCGATTTGCGCGACTCGCCATGCTTGCGAAACTTGTCCCCCTTAGTAGCTCTCCAGCTCTGTCACGCGTTCGGCAGTGACCTAGCGAGCCGACTCGCCATGGTTGCGAAACTTGTCCTTGGTAGTAGCTCTCCAGGTATTTTTGAGACGCCTCAAAAATAGCCATGGTTGCGAAGTTTGCCTTGTCCTCCTTAGTAGCTCTCCAGGTTTATCACGCGATTGGCTGCGAGCTCGCGAGCTGACGTTCGAATTTCGCACGGCTATCGCAAAAATAAACAATCGCGCGCAGTTTAGAGGTGACTCGGATGTCTTCAGGCAAGAGATGAAGGTGCAGAGAAAAATAATTAAACTTGGAATGGAGTTGAAACTTGAAATGGAGTTGAAACTTGAAATGGAGTTGAAACTTGAAATGGCCTGAAAAAATCTCGTGCACATTTGCGTATGCCCTTCCAAATTTCTCTTTGTGTGACTCTTGTAGTATCAGGTGAAGTGTATTCTCTTATCCTCCATCCTTATCCCCGTAACGAATCCATCCCCCCCTCCCTTCCTACCCCATGACAGCTGAATGTGCAGCGACGCAAGGACTTCAACGGCGGCCATTTCCAGCCGTCAGATGTGACGGACGGCTCAGATATGCTCATCCGCGTCCTCGTGCCCACGTACCAGTGCCCCGGGGAAGAGAGGCTGGGCGTGTGGGGGGACGGTGGTAAGGTGAGTGAGAGGGGGGGAGGGGGTTCGGGGGTGGGGGGGAAAGGGGGTGCGCGGGTGGGGGGGAAGTGGGGGCGAGGTGAGATGGTGGGGTCTTCCCTGTGGGCGTGCCCGCGTACCAGTGCCCAGGAGAAGAGAGGCTGGGCGTGTGGGGGGACGGTGGCAAGGTGAGTGAGAGTAGGGGCGGCTTGGAGGTGGGGTAAAGGGGAGGTGAGTGAGGTGAAAGAGTGCTACCTGTGCTCTTCCCCACGTGCCAGTGCCCTGGGGAAGAGAGGCTGGGCGTGTGGGGGGGCGGTGGCAAGGTGAGTGAGAGTAGGGGCGGCTTGGAGGTGGGGTAAAGGGGAGGTGAGTGAGGTGAAAGAGTGCTCCCTGTGCTCTTCCCCACGTACCAGTGCCCTGGGGAAGAGAGGCTGGGCGTGTGGGGGGGCGGTGGCAAGGTGAGTGAGAGTAGGGGCGGCTTGGAGGTGGGGTAAAGGGGAGGTGAGTGAGGTGAAAGAGTGCTCCCTGTGCTCTTCCCCACGTACCAGTGCCCTGGGGAAGAGAGGCTGGGCGTGTGGGGGGCGGTGGCAAGGTGAGTGAGAGTAGGGTTGGGGGGGGGGAGGAGGGGGAGGGGGTGCGGGGGTGGAGGGGGGAAGGGGAAGGGGGGTTGAGGTGAGAGGGTGGGCTCTTCCCTGTGCTCGTACCCGTGCCCCTGGGAATACAGGCTGGGTGTGTGGGGGGATGGTGGTAAGGTGAGTGGGGAGCTAGGGACTGGGGGATGGGGGCTGGGGGCTGGGGGAGGGGGGGAGGGAGGGTTGGAAACGGGTGGAGGGAGTGTAGGCATGTAATGTGAAGGGGCGCTTTTCCTCCTCGTCTTCATGTACCAGGGCCCAAGCGAAGAAAGGCTGGGCATGTGGAGCTACGGTGCGTGGGAGGACGGAGGCCGTTTTGGTGCGGGAGGGTGGCTTGGGAAACAGGGGGAACGGGGGGGAAACGGGGGGAAAGGGGGGGAAAGGGGGGGAAACGGGGGGGAGAAGAGGGAGTTTGGGGGATTCGTCCACGACTTACCCCCCACCACCATCTGTTCCTCCCCTCCCCCCCCCCACCCTCCCCCCACCCTCCCCCGCATCACCAGTGGACGTGCATGCTTCCGTCCACCATTCAGCCCAAGCCCATCGTCTACAGGTGTGTTGCCCATGTGTTGCCCATTTGTTGCCCATGCGTTGCCCGTGCTTTGCTGCTCTTCATGTGTCAACCATCTCCTTTTCATTGCAAGAGGAAAATGCAAGAGGAACGTGTTTGTGCTATCATTGTGCTGTCATTGTGTGCGTTCTTTTCAGTGGGGGTGCACATAATACATCCCCCCTTATGCTATAGTTGATTCTTTAGAAGTCTAAAGTATCACCTACGTGCTGTCATCTTCGTAGGAGTGCATATAATGCCTCTACCCGTTCATCGTTTCCTGAATTTCCCTCTTGAATTTCCCTCTTGAATTCCCCTCTTGAATTTCCCAATGAATTGTACCTCATGGCAGCATAGGCAGTAACGAGTCCTTCTCATTCGAGTACGACATCAGCCAAGAGGTGCACATCCGCCGCAGAGGCACCTGTGACCCATTCATACCCCCTCCCTCTCAGGTGATTTTTGAGTCGACTCAAAAATCACCCGCACCGCAGAGGCACCTGTGACCCATTCATACGAGGTGACTTTTGAGTCGACTCAAAAGGCACTTCATACCCCTTCCCTCTCATCCGTCCCTATTCTTCTTGTCCCCTTCTCATCACAGTATTGGCAGCAACGAGTCATTCTCGTTCGAGTATGAAATCAGCCAGGAGCTCCACATCTGCACCGACACCTTCAACCCGTGGATCCCCTCCCTCACGGAGGCTACGAGTGCATGAAGAATCCCCCCTTCCTTTTCTTCCGCTCATTCCTTTCCCTTGTGTTTCCCTGCTGGTTGCAGCATAGGCAGTAACGAGTCCTTCTCATTCGAGTACGAGATCAGCCAGGAGCTGCACATTCGCACCGACACCTTTGACCCGTTCATACCAAAGGAGGCGCAGGAGCGAATGAAGAATCTGCCCTTCATCCGCTTCCACGGCATTGGCGTGGCCAGCGACGCTGACATCAACAACTACCACAAGTGGTTCCCCAAGGTAGGGCGTGCATGTAATTCCAAGGTATACTGCTACATGTAACCCAATGAAAGAGGCCAAGAGGCGCAGGAGCGAATGAAGAATCTGCCCTTCATCCACTTCCATGGGATAGGCGTGGCCAGTGACGCTGACATCAACAGCTACCACAAGTGGTTCCCCAAGGTAAGGGGATTACTCTTGGTACCTTTCCCCAAGGTAGGCCAGGCATCACCCCCCTAGAGGCGCAAGAGAGAATGAAGAACCTCCCTTTCATTCGCTTCCATGGCATTGGCGTGGCCAGCGACGCTGATATCAATAACTACCACAAGTGGTTCCCCAAGGTAAGGGAATTACTCTTGGTACCTTGATCTAAAAAGGCTGGGCATCACCCCCCCCTAGAGGCCCAGGAGAGAATGAAGAGCCTGCCTGCCCTTCATTCGCTTCCATGGCATCGGCGTTGCCAGCGACGCTGACGTCAATAACTACCACAAGTGGTTCCCCAAGGTACGACATACATGTGACCACCAGGTGCTTATGCATGTAAACCCCATGGTGCAATACTGGGCCGAAAGCCGTTCATGTACATGGACGTGTCACGAGCTCACGATCGGCTGCGTGGGTGCAAGAAGGGCTGGGTGGTTTGGATGCCTTATGCATGCATGTAACTCCCAAGGTGCACTGCTGGGCCGAAAGCCTTTCTATTCATACCCAAGGAGACCCAGGAGGGCGCATGAAGTGTCCGCCCTTCATCCGCTTCCATGGCATTGGCGGGGCGAGTGATGCGGATATCAATAATTGCCACAAGTGATTCCCCATGGTAGGGTGGGAGGGGAGATGATGATGATGAAGTTTATGAAGTTCCACACTCACTCCCATCCTCACTTACACACTCCCTTCCACACTCGCTTCCACTCTCACGTCCACACTTATACACTCACTCCACACTCACCTCACTTCCACGCCCACCCACATCCCCCTCTGCAGATGAAGTTCACGAAGCTGACTGAGATCATGGAGAGCTTGGGACTCACATACGTAGACGTGCTCAAGATCGGCTGCGAGGGGTGCAAGGAGAGCAGAGCTGGGCTGGGCTGGGCTGGGCTGGGCTGGGCTGGGCTGGGCTGGGCTGGGGTGAGCTGTAAGGCAAGGCACTCACTCTCGCCTTCCTCTCCCCTCTCTTCTTCCCTTTCTCCCCTTCCCTCCGCTACTACCTCCTCAGATGAAGTTGATGAAGCTAACTGAAATCATGGAAAGGTTGGGCCATACGTACGTGGGCGTGCTCAAGATAGAGTGCACGGGCTGTGAGGAGAATTTTGTCAAGGAGCTGGTGGAGGGAGGGGGGTCCGGATCTCGCGCCTCTCATTCCCTTCCCCTTCCCTTGACCAGATGAAGTTCACGAAGCTGGCTGAGATCATGGAGAGCTTGGGCCGGTTCTGCATAGACGGGCTGGGGCTGCTCCTATTGCCTGACGCACTCCTTCCTCTCCTTCCTCTCCTTCCTCTCCTTCCTCTCCTTCCTCTCCTTCCTCTCCTTCCTCTCCTTCCTCTCCTTCCTCTCCTTCCTCTCCTTCCTCTCCTTCCTCTCCTTCCCCTCCTCCCCCTGCTTCCCCTCTCTATCCCCTGCCCTTCCCTTGAGCAGATGAAGTTCATGAAGCTAAATGAGATCATGGAGGGCCTGGCCCATACCTACGTGGACGTGGACGTGGACGTGGACGTGGACGTGGACGTGGACGTGGACGTGGACGTGGACGTGCTCAAGATCGACTGCGAGGGGTGTGAGGACACTCACCATCCCTTTCTCTCCCCCTGCTCCCCCTGCTCCCCCTGCTCCCCCTGCTCCCCCTGCTCCCCCTGCTCCCCCTGCTCCCCTCGCTCCCCCTGCTCCCCCTGCTCCCCCTGCTCCCCCTGCCCCCCCTGCCACCTCCGCAGATGAAGTTCATGAAGCTGACTGAGATCATGGAGAGCCTGGGCCACACGTACGTGGACGTGCTCAAAATCGACTGCGAGGGGTGCGAGGAGAATTTCATCAAGGAGTTGGTGGAGGCGAACCACCACAAGGTGGGGGCGCTCACTATCCACGGAGGGCGGCTGCCATTCGGCCAGATGCTGTGCGAGTTTCACAGGTGAGTTGTGGTGTAATGCGGTGCAATCTGTCTCTCTCACCCCATTATATTAAGGGAGAGTTAGTGGAGGCGAACCACCACAAGGTGGGGGCGTTGCTGTGCAAGTTCCACTGGTGAGTTTGTAGCTACTCTCTAACACACAGGTGGGGACACCATCCAGTGCACTTTCCGCCATCTCCCCACCCTCTCCCTCGCTCACGATCCACGGAGGGTGGCTGCTGTTTGGGCTGATTGTGAACGCATTCACAGCAGATGTTTTCGACAGGTGGGAGTCGACTGATCTCACACGTGAGGAGTCTATTTTTGAGGCGCCTCGAAAGCATACATCGTCACACGTTCACTCCCTAACCCTCTCACTAACTCACTCTTTCTCACTCACTCACTCCCTCACTCACTCGCTTAGCGCAAGGTGTGCACAAAGTGCTCTTCAGAGGAGCTGGTGCAGGCGAATAGGGCTGCTGACTAAAACTCTCCACTCCAGCCTGCACCCACGCTTCCTTTTCCCACACAGGGCCGACATGCCCAATCGCACCCTTCCCCTAGTCTACGGCACAGGACTGACCTTGGGTACTGCATGTTCCACATCGATCCGAACTCTATCCTTCTGACCCCATCCTCCCATTCCCATAGCAGGACAGACATGCCCAATCGCACGCTGCCACTCGTCTACGGCATGGAGAACCTCGGGTACCGTATGTTCCACATCGGTTGAGCCCAACCTGCAGTGCCTGCACCCAGTCTAGTGTCTATACTTGTACCAATACATCCACTGTCTCTTTGTGCCCTTCTTGCATCATCCCTACAACAGGACTGACATGCCCAATCTCACTCTTTCTCACTCTCTCCACCCCATTTCCCCGTTACAGGACCGACATGCGGAATCGCACGCTGCCCCTGGTTTACGGCATGGAGAACCTCGGGTACCGCATGTTCCACATCGATGGAGCGCAACCCGCAGTGCGTGCACTGACAGGAGATGGCCTTCATCCATGACACCCTCGTCAAACCCTCCACCACCACCGCACCGACTTCTGGCCGGGAGCTTGAGCTCATACAGCACGTGAAAAATCAGCCCGCTTTCTGATCAAAACCCTCCTCTTTCCCACCCTCCTCACATGTCGCTACCCGTGCAGGACCGACATGCCGAATCGCACGCTTCCACTTGTCTATGGTATGGAGAATCTCGGGTACCGCATGTTCCACATTGAACCCAACCCGCAGTGCCTGCACTGCCAGGAGATTGCCTTCATCCACGAAACCCTCGTCAAACCCTCAACCACCACCGACTGCCGGCCGTTCCTGCAACAAAACGGGCTTGCTCAGTTTATTGACGCGAGTAGCTTGGCTCAAGATGGGGAAGGGAATGGCGAGGAACCTGCTTCTAGCAACTCTGCTGGTTCCAACTCTCCTGGCTCCCCATAGATCCCTCATGGAACCAACCACCACCACCAACACCACCGACTGCTGGCCGTTTCTTCCACGGGCTTGCTCAGTTCTTTGACGCGAATAGCTGGGCTCAAGATTCGGGAGGGAATGGCGAGGAACCTGCCGCTGGTACCAACTCTTCTGTTACCAGCTCTCCTGGTACCCGCTCTCCTGGAACCAGCTCTCCTGGTGCCTGCTCCCCTGGTTCCGCCCTGATACTCCCTTGTTAAACCCACCGGCTGTTTCTTCAGCATAGTGGCCTCACACAGGTCACTGATGCGGGTGATTTGGCTCGAGCTGACTTTTGAGTCGACTCAAAAGTGTTGTGACATTGAATGTGGTATCTTTTGAGGGTACATTCCTACGGGCCTTTCGCCACGGCAGTTTATAAAGTGTCGAAAGGTTCCCGCCTATTCTGCCAGTTGTCAGTTTGGCGCGCCGCTTTTGTGCGACATTTGTAACGGTCGGATTGGACTTCACAATGTACGCAACTTGTGTCAACATATATTTGAATATGTTGTAGGCTAGATAGGTGCATGCTCATAGAGAGTACAACACCTTCGGACAGAACCACCCTGTATCACACATTCTAGTTCATTGCATTATCTTGAGATGGGATCACGCTACGTTAGGTCCCCCTCCCCGCTTACGCTTCCGCTCCGCCCCTAGCCCTAGCCCTAGCCCTAGCCTATGTCCTAGCCGTGTCCTAGCCGTGCCCTAGCCCTAGCCTTAGCACTGTCCGTGCCAGCCCCGTCACTTCGTGCCGGCCCCGTTAGTTCACGTCGGCCCCGGTAGTTCGCGCCGGCCTCGCTAGTTCGCGCCAGCCCCGCTATTTCGCGCCGGCCCCATCACTTCGCACTGGCCCCGTCAGTTTGCGCCGGCCCCACTAGTTCGTGTCGGCCCCGTCACTTCGCGCCGGCCCCGTCAGTTCGCGCCGGCCCCGTCAGTTCGCGCCGGCCCCGTTAGTTCGCGCCAGCCCTGTCGCTTCGTGCTGGCCCTGTCAGTTCGTGCCGAACCCACTAGTTCGTGACGGCCCTGTCACTTCGCGCTAGCCCCGTCGGTCCGCGTCGGCCCTGCTAGCCTGTGCCGGCCCCGCCACTTCGCGCCGACCCTGCTAGTTCGCGCCGGCCCAGCCATTTCGCGCCGGCCCCGTCCCTCCGCGCCGGCCCCGCTAGTCCGCACCGGCCCCTCGTTAGGAGCGCCCGCCTTGGCCCCTAGCTCGTCGCTGGCCCCTACTCGCACCAGCCCCCGTTCGAGCCGGCCCCAGTTCGCGCCGGCCCACGTTCCTGCTGTGCCGCGGTGCTGCCGTGCTGACGTGCCGCCGTAACGCCGTGCCTTCGTGCTGCCGTGCCGCCGTACTGCCGTGTCGCCATGCCGTCGCGCCGCCGTCTCGCCGTCTCGCTATGTCGCCGTGTCTCCGTGCCGCCGTGTCGTTGTCAGCTGCTGCAGCCGTGGTTATGGCGGATGCTGTGCTCCGCATGGACGCGGAGGGCCGGGCGATCGACTTTAAGGCCTGGCTCGTCGACCTCCGTCGTCAGCTTACAGGTCACAGCTACTCCCTGGCCGTCCATGTCGACGATAAGCTTCCCTGCCCCCCCGTGCCTACTGCCCTCCCTGACGCTCCCACATGTGCTGAGCGTGAGTGTCACAGGATCGAATGTTCCGAGGAAAGGTTTGCTCAATGTTGCCCTATCAATCAGTACAAGGTGCTTTTATACTTCCATAGTACATCAAGTAACCAGGTTTATCCTATCCAAAGGAAATAGACCCTTCTAGAAATAGAATCACCCTGCGTATAGCCACGCGAGGCTATTGGCTTTAAGGGATTACGGCAGGATTACGCTAGATATAGCGCGCCAGTACATCCTGAGCCTGGTCGGTGATATAATTATAATAACAGGATAAACCAAAGGATAATGGAAAAGGAGGAATGAAATAGAAAGGAAATATGGAAAGGGGAAATTAGTGTAACGGGGTCGTACTCTCACACTTCCCCCCCTCAAAGCTGGGTGGTAGACGTAACACCCTGCTTGACAAGGTAGTCGCGAAGAGGACGACGGGCGTTACCCATGTCGAATTCAGAGATGCAGCCTCAGAAGTATCATAACCCTTCCAGCAAAGAAGAAGCTCCAGAGTGCCATTCTGACGATGACAGTGTCCGAGCACGTAGTTGTCCCATGGCGTGGACGAATACGGGCGATGACGGTGGTTGGCATTTGGTGTAGAGCGTGTTTGGTCTTGATAGGGTTTAAGAAGCTGGTATGAAAGGCGTTATGGATCTTCCAAGTGGCTGGTTGGCGGAAGCGAAAGTTAACAGGAGTAACATGTACTTCAACGATGATAGACCCGCAGAAGCAAGGTTGAAGCTTGGATGGAATATGGCTGATGTCGAGATTATGGTGTGGATGACTGTAGTGATAAGGGGTCAAATGCTTGTGCTGATGTTGGATGTCCAAGAGGGCGCTTGTGTGGTCGATGTACAAGATGGTGGACGATGGCGATGAAATCGGAAGCCAGTTGGACTGTGGCTGGTATGGTTAGCTGTTGTGGTGTGATTGGGTGGCGTCCGTAACAGACGAAGGACAGCGTCTGTCCAGTAGCAGCGTCAGGAGCATACTTGTAGGCAAACTCCAGGACGGGCAGATGCAAGTCGGAGTTGGAGATGTGAATGGTTGGAACAGTGTGCTGTAACGTGCAGATGAGTGGCTATGTTGTCCGATCTGTGCATGCTGTTACCCGCGTCTGGTCCACGTGTGAAGATCACCAAGTGTTGGTGGTATGGCAGTCATGTCATAGTACTGCTTCGATCGAGCTGGTCCATGCCTTAGTGTTGTCGCGAGTCGTACCCACTCGGCATCGTAGTGCTGCGGGAATGGAGAGCAGAATCACTAGTAGTGACTCTGTCCACCACGCGGTCTGCTAGTCACACTGCCTTGAGTACAACAGCGCATGCAAAGTGCTGCTCAGCGTATCCCTTGTGTTCAGAACCATGCGAGGGGTTGGTACCATAAACGCGGAGCTGGTAACTTCCAGAATCGGCGCCAAAGTAGTTTCCCTCGGTGGTTGCTCAAGCAAGGAATCTCAGTTGTGTAGATATCCCACGGTGATGGGTTAGGACATCTGGGAATATTATGGGAATTCCCAAGTAATCCTCTTCTGTTTCCAAATGAGCATTGCTGATAGCCAATCCAGTATGACCTTATGCACGTCCAGTTTAGCACGGAGGCCATCGGTAGGCATCGGTGTCTGGCGCACATATTGGGATAGGTCTTCTGGTGCCATCATGTGTTGTCTCATTCTGTTACTGTCCTTGAAGTAGCGTTGATGTCGCAGACGTCTCGGCTACTCAGCATCAGTGTTGAAGTCTGCTCCATTTCGGCAAACAGGGGTGTTGTTGGAGATACGCGAAGTCCACTATCCGGAGTGGCGTCGGCGCTCCATTTCACGCCTATCTGCTTCCGTGGAGGTGGTGCTGCTGATGGATTGGTTGTGACGCAGGTTTTATGACTTTAAGGAAAGCCATAGGCCATGAGGACTTGTATACCGGTAGAGTACCGCGGTCCTCCCATCCTCATACGAGCAAATATCTTCAGCTCTTGAGGGTGTATGGCATTGCCATGTTGTTTCCTCGCATAGTGGTATCTCCTCCCCACTAGCTGGAAATCATAGTACTGTGCCTGGCCGGGACTTTACGATCATACTGGAATATAATCCAGTGTTATCTCCATTGAGTGGAGAATCATCCATCAGGATTTGGTTGTGACTGTTGTGTCGAGTCTTCTGTTGCGGCGGCGGCGGCGGTTGCGACGACGGCCACGGCGGCAGCTGCTGCAGAGAATTCTCTCAACTCGTACCAGTTGAAGGAGAATCCATCAACTCCCTCTTCCCAGTAGAGTGTTCCTGATGGGTGTAACAGGCGTAACTACCAGGAACACGTGCACATTAGTACACATGTGTTGTTCCATTGCTGCCGGTGATTGTTTCATTTGAGGGTATGAAGAGAAACTTGCTTCTCCCCTCAATGTATTGGTTGCGACGCAGGTTTTATGACTTTAAGGAAAGCCATAGGCCATGAGGACTGTATACCGATAGAGTACCGTGGTCCTCCCATCCCCATAAGAGCAAATATCTGATGCTCTTGAGGGTATATGGCATTGCCATCTTGGTTCCTCGCATAGTGGTTTCTCCTTCCCACTAGCTGGAAATCATACTACTGTGCCTGGCCGGGACTTTACGATCATACTGGAATATAATCCAGTATTATCTCCATTGAGTGGAGAATCATCCATCAGGATTTGGTTGTGACTGTTGTGTCAAGTCTTCTGCTGCGGCGGCGGCGGCGGTAGCGACGACGGCCACGGCGGCAGCTGCTGCAGAGAATTCTCTCAACTCGTACCAGTTGAAGGAGAATCCATCAACTCCCTCTTCCCAGTAGAGTGTTCCTGATGGGTGTAACAGGCGTAACTACCAGGAACACGTGCATATTGGTACACAGGTGTTGCTCCATTGCTGCCGGTGATGGTTTCATTTGAGGGTATGAAGAGATATTTGCTTCTCCCCTCAATGTATCCACGGGTAGCAATTCCTGGTATGCTCATCCGTGCCTCCGATGTACGGTCGGTAGAGCGCGTGATCGTGTTGTAGTAGTCCGCATCTCCCTCATTTGTTGACACCTCGTGTTGCTTGGCGTTCTCCTGCATCGTCGAAGTTACGCTGATGCTTGTAACGCTTCGGCTTCTGGTAGAATCGCCTCAAATGCATGTGCCGTAGGGTCGCTAGTGAACGAGTACTTGCCGGATTAGAGGTTAATTACTCCTCAATCTGTCAAGCATCGTGACGTGCACGGAAATTTTCTTCCACGCAGGTCATTAACACCTGGAATCGCGACGCATGATTGGTGTGTCGCCTCGTGAGGTCGATGTTGAGACTGCTCCAATCAATCACCTCGGATGGTTGAGATTCTTGATGAAGACGAATCATTCAGCTCCTGGTACGAAGTAGTGTCTCGCTGGCCTTGACGAGACGGGTTCACTGCGTCGTCGTTGCGTGCGAAATCTGCTCCTTCGCAGCAACTTGAACTTGGGAGCATTGCAAGAGAAAACGGCTACTTCTCTGCAATCCCATAGGTTGTCGATCAATTTGTATGAAGAAGTGTCTCGTGGATGGAGAACATGTCTTCACGCAGCTCCATTGTTTTTCCTGGATGAAGATTCCGTCGTGTTGATGTCGATCCATTTTTAACGAAGATGACTTCGTCGAAATAAATCGATCGTTATCGACACTAGTTAGAAGATGCGTCGATTGTGCAGTCGCTGGTCACGAATGTTCTCTCCATGATGATGATTTTCCATAAGTGTAGTCTCTGCTTCATTCGTGCCGTTGATTCCGCAACGATCCGACGATCCACGTTCTCCCGTCAGTTTTCTGCTTGCAGCTATTACCAAGTAGGTAATACTCTGGCAGATTTCTGACTCCGTAGATGATTTGCGCGCCAAATTCGTCTCCAAATGAAGGAATTTGAATTTGGTTGTCTAGATGTTGTCGACGGTGTCGATGGCGGCTGATTTCTGGTTCTGCGCGTTATTCTCCCTT